GGGCAGTGGCCTTGTGGGGTCTGCTCAAACGTGGCCTAGGGCAGTGGCCTTGTGGGGTCTGCTCAAACGTGGCCCAGGGCAGTGGCCTTGTGGGGCCAGCTCAAACGTGGCAGGTGGTAGAGGAAGGGGAAAGTCTTGTGGTTATTGGTGGGTAGAGGAAGGGGAATTCTAGGATCCTAGAAATGGCAGTGTAGAAGGTACAGAGAAGATACGTAGTAGTCTCTGTGGCCAGCGCCACTCTGCCCTTTGGGGCTTCATTTTTATAAATGCCCTTTTACGTGGGAACTGAGAACAGGGAAGACATAACCTGTCCCTGTGTGTGTCCAGATCCAGAGGAGGAAGCTATGACCACAACACAGGTGGTGCCCACCACAACCCCTAGGAAACCCATCCTGGGCGAGCTGACTGTGACAGATGCCACTCCGGACTCCCTGAGCCTCTCCTGGACCGTCCCCGAGGGACAGTTTGACCAATTCGTGATCCAGTACAAGAATGGGGACGGGCAGCCCAAGGTGGTGCGGGTACCAGGGCACGAGGACCAGGTCACCATCCCCGGCCTGGAACCAGACCACAAGTACAAGATGAACCTGTATGGCATCCACAGTGGCCAGCGTGTGGGCCCCGTGTCTGTTGTCGGGGTGACAGGTGAGGGGACTGAGGGAGCCCAGGATGGGACCTACTAGAAGTGACCGTCAGCTCTGAGTAGGGACCAGTGGCCTGGGACTGGTTAGTACCCCAGACCTTCCGTGGCCGAGGCTGTGGCCTTTGTGCTGTTCCCTGGGGCTGGCCTGTCTCCCCCATACAGAGTGGAGACATCAAGACCTTTGCTGTACTGTGCTGTCCAGGGCCCCCCAGCTGACCCAGGAACTTGGCCATGTTGGCCAGCTGTCAGATGACCAGGACCACTAGGCCCCAAGTCGGGGGGGGGGGCGTCTCTGAACTGATATTGGGACCTCTCTGGTAGCCATAGCTTCTCCTCAAAAGCCAAGGACACCTGCTGGGGACCCCCCCACCCCGCTCACCTCTCTGTCTCCTTCTCAGCTGCAGAGGAAGAGACCCCCAGCCCCACAGAGCCCAGCACAGAGGCCCCAGAGCCCCCCGAGGAGCCGCTCCTGGGAGAGC